ATTATTCCTTAATCAATACACATAAATCTATAGTTTCTGAAAAGTGGCAATTTCACCATATTTTTTGAAAAAGTTACACCGGTGGTCTTTAGGTTTTAAAATCAAGCACGATTAGCCTTTTTGACTAACTTTGTTAAAAGATAGTGGTTAACTATGTATGAAATGACAAATTTACCCCTATCTAACTTATATATATACATACATATATATATATATATATATATATATATATATATATATATATATATATATAGGGAAAAGTGAATATATCCTTAAAGGTATATAAGCTTAGGTACCCAAACACATCATAATACATTGTTTTGTTTGATATATTCATTATAATGTTGTTAAACTTCAACCCCCAACGTTATCTACTTTCAATATTTTCAAATTTTCACTATTATATTTCTCTTTTATCACATCTTTTTATCGAACACCTAATAGGCTTTATATATTGTCGTTGAAAATGAAGATTATTTAAGAGAAAGATAAATGTGTAATTTATAAAAATCATGAAAGTAAATCAAATGAGAAGTTAAATTACATGAACATTGTACAATTAGAATGTATTATATGATATAAAACGACGTAGTATGGTGAGTTTGGGTACCTAAGCTTATATACCCTTAAGGGTATATTCACTTTTCTCATATATATATATATATATATATATATATATATATATATATATATATATATATATATATATATATATATATATATATATAATGGTGAAAGTCCAAAGATTTTGGAAGCAATCAAGTTATGAGGTTGAATTTTAAGAACTTTGGGTGATTACAATGCAAATATGATACAAAATTACATAGTATGATGTGGTTAGGTACGTAAGCTTATATAAGGTGTAGGTTCATTTGAGACCATTCTAATTTTGTGAGACCGTGAGACCAAATTTAAAAATAATTTTAAAATGCAAAATAAATGAAAAAATCCAAAAATTCTTTTTTTAAATATTATTTTCGGAACTTGAATTAACTAAAAAAAATAAAAAAATAATAATAAAAAAAAATATTCCGTTTTTTTTTGAAAAAATACGTGAAATATTCTAAATAGAATATTACACTGACATATTCTAAAAAATAATTTTAAAATGCAAAATAAATGGAAAAATCTAAAAATTCTTTTTTTAAATATTATTTTCGGAACTTGAATTAATTAAAAAAAATAAAAAAAATAAAGAAAATTCGATTTTTTTTTGAAAAATACGTGAAATATTCTAAATAGAATATTACACTGTACATATTCTAAAAATAATTTTAAAATGCAAAATAAATGGAAAAATCAAAAAATTCTTTTTTTAAATATTATTTTTGGAACATGAATTAACTAAAAAAAATAAAAAAAAAATAAAAAAAAATCAAAAAATGCGTCTCACGGTCTCACAAAATATAGGTGGTCTCAAATGAACCTAACCCTATATATATATATATATATATATATATATATATATATATATATATATATATATATATATATATATATATATATATATGAAAAAGTGAATAGGTATACAACATTACCAGACTTGTGAAATTTGTTGTGTGATAAATTGTTGAAGCCCTTATTTTTGCACAGCCTATTACCGATCGGCGTTCCCATCCGCCACCGCCACGGCCACCCATCCGTTTTTCTTCCTACCTTTTCTCATCACCGTAAAGTTGCATCAGACAAAACCCGATTCATTCACCAAACACCTTCAATGAAGACGACGGGATGGTTAACTCACCAAAAAAGAAAACGATTTCAATAAAATTTGAATTCAATTCAGCGAAGGAAATTTAATGAAGAACAAAACCTATATCACTAAATTGGAATTCTTGGCACATCGTTCATATGCAATGTCGATTCAGGTTAGTCCTTATGTCTGTCTCTTTCAGTTTCACAAACACCATCTCGCCTTAAAAATCTTCAATTTTCCATTCGCTTTTGTCTCACAGGAACTTCATTGTTTTTGCTCTTCCTTGAAATGGGCAATGACGAATCAACATCACTACAGGGAACTCATTTTCTCTAAAAATTATAGTTTATGCAGCCCATCCACCAGGTGTTCGATTAAATGCCTAAGTGAACTTTTTTGTCAATCGTGTGCAATGAATGTTGTATTTGATAATGTTTGTTTGTTTCCAAACAGGAACTTCCAGTTTGGATGCGTCCATATGCTCGTAGAGCTTGGGCTCGTGCATTTTATTCAAGAAACCCGCTGCCAAAAACATAAATCACACTTTATTATTTATTATTTATAATACAAGCAACTTTGTTTTCACATAAATAACACTACACAACTCCTATTCCTAGGTTAGGGTGCAGTTTCTTTATTACTTACTTAATAGAAAAAGAAGTGATTTGGTCCCAGTTTTGTAAGACTTGCTCATCCTAAAACAAATTGGTATGAATTTAAATTGTTTCATTTATTTACATTTGTCGTTCAATTTCTGCCCTAGTTAACTTCCTGGTGTTCTTTTCATATTGCATATCTTCAATTGCACTCAGTGAGGGCAATCCTGGAAAACATAAAAGTCAAATGAATTTACTGTTGGTAATTTATTATTGAATGTGATTTGTTGTTGCTTTTGTATGTTATTTGGACATGGAAGAGGTGGGCTTAAAAACCACCAACCAATTCAAAATTTCATGTCTTTATTGGGTATGGATAAGAGCAGGTAGATTCATTATCACATGATCAATATGCTCTCGTGATTTGTTTGAAAAGGGCAATGAAGTTTTTTTTTTTTTTTTGCTTCCTTATGTCTTCACAGCAACATGAGCTTCAACATGTTTTGAATTTCCATTTTATATTGAAAAGATTAGAAGGGTATTTATGTCTTTTGCATAGAAATGACAATTAACTAGTCAAAAGTTTACTTAAAACATCATACCTTTAATTGTGGGACTCGGAATTCGTATGCAATGCTGCCCATTTTATTCACTACTGTCTGGATTCTGGGATAGTTTTTCTGTTGTTAAGTAGAACAAGTTAAAAAATAAATGATTAACACGGACAAATCATTTAAGCCCTAATGTCAATGGGACAAAAAATATATCTACTTTCATTCCCGTTTAACAAATTACAAATGCAAAGTTATTCTCATGTGTAGGTGATTATAATTGAAAGATCTTGGGTTATGGAGACACCAAAGAAGTTGAAGATTGTATTAAACGAATTGTATAGACAAAGTTATTAGTTAGGACACAATTTTTATAGGTTTTTAGACGAATTGTATATGTTGACAGAAAGTGTATAGAAAAAGTTTTTTTTTGGTGGATAGAGCTGAAATTGCAACCCACTTTTCTTATTGATTCGAAATAGCAATGTGCTTATAAATACTTTCGTTTTTAACCCACAATAGCATCATATTTTCATTTTTAACCCACATTTGCATCATATTTTCGTTTTTTACCCACAAAAAATCATAATTTCGTTTTTGACCCTTAATAGCATCATATTTTCGTTTTTCACCAACAATAACATCATAATTCCGTTTTTAACCCACATGCACATCATATTTTCGTCTTTAACCCACAATACAATCATAATTTCGTTTTTGACCCTCAATAGCATTATATTTTTGTTTTTCATCCGTAATAACATCATAATTTCATTTTTAACCCACAATAGCATCATATTTTCGTTTTTAACCCACATTTGCATCATATTTTCGTTTTTAATCCACAATAATATCATAATTTATTTGACCCTCAATAGCATCATATTTTTGTTATTCACCCACAATAACATCATAATTTCGTTTTTAACCGACAATAACATCATAATTTCGTTTTTAACCGACAATAGCATCATATTTTCGTTTTTAACCCACATTTTCATCATATTTTCGTTTTTAACCGGCATTTGACTCATTTTCGTTTTTAACCCAAAATAGAATCATAATTTTGTTTTTAACCCTCAATAGCATCATATTTTTGTTTTTCACCCACAATAACATCATAACTTTGTTTTTACACATAATAGCATCGTTTTTTAGTTTTAACCCATTATGGCAGCCTAATTTTCAGTTTTGAGCCATTATTGACATGTAATTGAACAAAAAACAGAATGTGAAGACAAACTATCAAGATTTTTCTTTAATCAACTTTAACCTAAAATGACATCGTACTTTCATTTGAAACACATAAGAACAACAAACATTCAATTTAAACACAAAAATCATAAATAATCAACATTTTTCATTTGAAAACTATAAAAAATGTTAATAAACATAAAACATTTCCAGATTATTCGTACATTTTTAACCAAAAAAGAATGTCAAAAATGCCAAGAAGCATATCGAATTTTCCTTTGCTCACAAAAACAACACAACTTATCATTATGTCTCTTTCAACGAGTCATCTATCTGATACATGTAAAAAAATATTGTTAATATAATTATTAGAGTTCTAAATCATGAAAATTAAATTAATATTAAAATTGCCTTTCTTTCGGAACAACTAGTAGCGTAATGACACAATCCTTGACAATAAGAGCATGTACGTTTTTTGGGGGCTTTTAAAGAAGACCTGATTCTACTAGCAATTTTAGGATGCCCTTTTGTAGTAGATGGACCAAGAGGATCATGGACAGATAACTGTGGCGTCATATCTATTTGCGAAACTCCCATACAAGAACCTTGAGATGCATTCTCCAAAGAAATAGATTTCTTTCGATTTGTTTGATCATCGAAAAGACTTATCAATAGTGTATTGACTTTTTGTATCTCTGAAAGGGAGTCTCTTGCTTGTTCAATTAGTTTAGTAAAATTTGAACGGACACACCATAGTGTGTATGCACTAACTCCATTTTCATTATTCATTTCTCTGAGTCCGATACTAGCACTACCCAGTTTGTACCTAGCATTAAGGGTCCATCATGGTAAAATATAGTGACTCGGGAGTTCATTAACATGTTTCTTCTTCATCACGTATAGGCTATGTTTGCATAAAATCCCATTTTTCTCATACTTAGCATAGGAACATGTGACGCTGACTTAATCTAAAGAACGAAAGGTAACACTGCGCCAATATTTTTTATCAACATCCAATTGCCCAACTCGGTATGTGCTTTCTTCTATAGTTTTTCCTATAGTCTCATGAGTTAAATTGGTAATAGCTTCAGTCCATTCTTTTTTGAAAGTATCAAACATCTTTCTAGTATAACATTGACCGGCTTCCACTTCGATTGGATGCACTGAAGAAAGAATCGGCCTTGAGTTCATAGTCTTGAAGTCTTCATCTTCTTCGACAGCCCTTTGAGACTCAACTGCTTTGTCGTATTGTACAACAAATTCATTCAACATGGTCGTCGAATTAACAAATCCATCAAAAAAATGAGTTGATACTCTCACTTCGTCTGGTTGTTGTCATACCAGCAAAGAAAGTATCCTGCAAGTAGGGTTTAGCCCAATGTATACGTTGGTTATACTTGTCACTAATCCAACTATTGCTTTCCAGTTCATACTTATTACGCATAACTTCCCATGTTGCTTCAAATTGTTCAATGGTGTCACTATTTACCCATTGTTTGTGCGTTTCTTGAAAATCACTATAATGGGAAACATATGATCGAAGGTGCTCAATTTCATGCTTCATGATATGCCATGAACAAAAACGATGTCGAGTCTTCGGAAACACTTTTTTTATTGCATTTCCAATTGCTTTGTCGTGATCTGTTATAATTGCCTTCGGATACTTGTTAAACATACATTTGAGGAAATGTTCAAATAACCATTCAAATGTCTCTTCCTTTTCATTTTCAAGCAATGTTCCACAAAAAAGTATAGACTGCCCATGATGATTCACCCCAGCAAATGGAGCAAAAGGCATCTTGAACTTGTTAGTCATATAAGTGATATTAAACACAACAACATCTCTGAATTTTATATAAGCATCTCTTGATCTACCATCAGCCCAAAAGATATTTCTAGGATACCCATCATCAGACAAATCCACAACAAAATACTGGTCACTATCAACTAATGTTTTATCTTGAAAATATTTTATAAGTTCATAGAACTCCTTTCCTTTATATTGTTTTCGTTGCTCAGATAAGACATCGGCACATTGCTTTGAAGTAACATCAGCTACATTTGAGGTTTTCATCGTATTAATAGCCTTTTTAATCTGGGAAGGTTTCAACCCTGCTTAACCAAATTGTAGCATAAGAGATTTACCTTCTATTGAATGGTGAAAACTGCTATGAGATCGATGCTTCATCACCTTCGTAGGTGTCATGGTCAAGTCGTGATTGTGTGTGTCATTAAATGAGTCCACCAACCATTTCCCATCCTCTTGTCTTGTTATTCGAAGCTTTCCTTGACATCTGGTTCTAACATCTCTACGACGTTTTTTCTCATTTTCACTTGAATCATTTTTGTCCATCCTTTTGAAACCATCTTTGTTGCCTACATATATCTTTCGAAAAGGCTCATTTTTTTTAGGATTTTTAATTGTGTCATCTCTACGTATACCAAAACCATGTAAAAATGAATAATCATTATAAAATGTATAGGCATCATTGGGTGTATCAAAAACCTTTACTAGTATACTTTCATCGTTAACTTCATCTTCATCAAATTCATTGTTCACACCGAAACTATTTATTTTTTCACATTCATATGTTGCTTCCACGTAATCATTTGTGTCAATATATTCGGTTATATATGGTTCTATAGCTTGATTAGTTGCTTCGGCTTCATTCATTATGGCCTACAACATTCCAGATAAAAGATTAACACCAAATTGTTTTATATTAAACATAATGGAAACATTATCCAAAAAAAGACACAATAACCAATGACAATATCTAAAAAACAACAATGTCACTTTTAAAATCCCGAAACAAATAAAGATTCATCAGGTAATAAAGAACATTGTAAACAATAATATCGAATAATAATTTCTGAAAAAACTTTAATAATCATATCAATTCGTTTGTTGCTTTTTATCCTCAATTATTCATTGTTTCCAACAAGTTTGATCAAGTTCATCCAAGTTAACCCAAAACAGAGACTTCAAGAGGCACCATGAAGTTTGCTCTTTAATCATCTTATCAATTCGTTTTTATCTTCAATTATTCATAACCAATCAAAACCGTTTTCAGCATATGTCTTCACTAAAAAAAAGGGGGCATTAGGGACCGAACTTATGGAAAAAAAAAACAGGGGATGATTTCAATCCTAGTGAATTGCAACCAATTCCAATTGATAATAAAAGATACAAATTTACTAATGAAACACATAAAACAAAGTATACAAGTGCAGGCGAGGAGATTACTTGAAAGTGTTCTGAACGAAAAAGAACAGAGGATGATTTTGATCACTTGTGAATTGCGATTGTTTTGATTTCAGTTCTTTGTTAATTGCAATTTTTTTTTGAACTCTCTGAATTTCGATTCCAGTATGTGTCAATTCGTTTAAAGATACTCCCTGAATTTCGATTCCAGTATGTGTCAATTCGTTTTAAGATACTTCCGATTTCTTTGATTATGGAATGATTCGAATTAGTATTGTAATCACGATTAAGGAAACTATCGTACTTTTTTTATTTAGAAAATTAACCCATTAATCAAAACTACGTAGTTTTAAGTAATGGATATTTAATCTTATATACCCTTAAGGCTATATTCATTTTTCCCATACATATATATATATATATATATATATATAGATAGATAGAGAGAGAGAGAGAGGTAGGTTCAAATGTTTCTCACATCTATTATGTGCTAGAATGCACCAATATGAATTTAATATTAATTATATGTATATTAAATGATATCCATACTTATAACTCATTTTTATGGAAACTAATTAAATTTATCATTAATGTTTACAATAATATTCTTTCAGAATGAATTCATATATAGAAGAATGAGTGTGTATTTCAGCAGAATGAAAGTGTATTCTAGTAGAATACACCACTATTCTTCATATTCCATGCAAATTTATTGTATTTTTAGTGAGTGGGTCCTTAAACAAAATACGAACTCATATATAAAAACCTAGATGCGAATTCAAGAATGTTATCGCTGAAATTAATGACAAATTTAATTAGTTTTCATAAAAAGAGAATTATAATTATGGATATCATTTAATATACATATAATTATGGAAATCATTTAATATCTAAATTTATTTAATTAAATAATTCTCTAATTTACTTAAATCCTATTGGTGCATTGTAGCACACAATAAATGTAATAAACAAAATAACCTAGCTATATATATATATATATATATATATATATATATATATATATATATATATATATATATATATATATATATATCTTCCTATCTAATAAAAGAATAGTTTTATTCTCCTTTTGACATGTGTCATCTTATTAGGCCTCTTAATTAATGCATATTTTATTCTCCTTTTGCCAAGTGTCACCACATTATATATACTAATTAATGAATGTCATTTCTAAACCTATTAATTATCCATTTCAAATTTCAAATTTTAAATTTACCACTCTAATTACATTAAATTAATAACATTAGAATAAAATTTAAAATAAACTTAATACAAATTATAAAGTGATATAATTTCACATATTTATTTAAATCAATGATTAAAATTTATATAACTAAAAAAATCTATTAATTAATAATTTATTTAAAATAAATGATTAATAATTTTTAGTTTTTATTTTAAAATTTTAATTAATTGTATAACCGTGATTTCAAAACAAAAAAATCTCTCATATAGATGTATAAAGTGATATAATTTCACATATTTATTTAAATTAAAGATTAAAATTTATATAACTAAAAAATTTCTTAATTAATAATTTATTTAAAATAATTGATTAATAACTTTTAGTTTTTATTTTAAAATTTTAATTAATTGTATAACCGTGGTTCTCACGGGTTATAAACTAGTGTGTGTGTGTGTATATATATATATATATATATATATATATATATATATATATATTATACTAAACCTTAACCTTTTACCCTACACTCGCCTCCCCCCGTTCTTCAAATTCTATGACCACCTCTCCACCTAACCTTCGACTTCCTCCGCCTCCTCTACTATGCATTTGCTACAAATTAGACTGCAATGGTGGTAAAACAAGTTATGGATGAAGGTATTCTTTTTATGGCAAAGGGACCCTAATTCCGATGACCGAAAAAGTTACATTAGCATATGGATTCGACCTTACCAACTTCAGATTCTTCACAACTACCTTCACTGCGTGAAGTCGCTGGAGGAATTTTGCCGCCTTCCGCTCCTTTACAGCCACCATTAAACCCAACCCCATCACAGAAGAAGCGACATCCATCATCTACCCTCAGCTGTGACAACCCGAAGTTCGTTCCATCAATTGTAACCCTTTTTCGTTAATATATTCGTCGTTTTCAATTTTGTTTCCGTTACATCGTTAATTTAATTCATTATTGTGGGACCTCAATTATGACTTAATAGGTGTCTAATCATGTTTAGAATTCATATTAACACTCCATATTAGTAATCGGAAACATTTTAGAATCAACCATATCGGGTTATGGCAACTTAATCGGGTGCGACCAAAAGTATCGTATAACGTCGGTATCGGGTAGAATTCCACCGTGTCCAAAACTTGGAACCTAGTTAAAGTGGTTTAAGCTTCCATTTGAAGCTTTTGCTCTCTCTCTCTCACTACTCTCTCTCTAACCTCTCTTCTCAATCCAAGTTTCATGTCCAAAATCATCAAATTTAAGCTCCAAATCACTAAGGTAACTTCCCTAACTCTTAGTATGGCATCTTAGACCTTCAAATCCGAGTTAAAACAATCATTTAGGACCATTTTCATGTGTTTACAGCCTTGGAACAAGCTTGGGCCGTAAACTCACATATGACGGGTTTTTGAGCCTTTAAACCCTTCCAATCGACCTTTGGAGCTTAGATATGGCTATATGATTTAATGTACTGGACTTAGAACACCTTGAATCCACTTTTTGGGGAGTAAACATGAGTTTACTGCCCAAGAACATGCTTGGGGCGTAAACTCACCTTCATGGAGAGTAAACTCATATTTGAGTGTTTAAAAGCCACTTAAACACACCAATAGCCTTGGATTAAATTCTAGAATCAACCACAATCGATTTAGGGGACTTAAACTTGATGAAAACCACCCCATGGAGAGTTCACGGCCGTAAATCCCCCTAGAAGGGTTCCTGGGCCGTAAACTCATAAACAATAGCCAAATGATACCCTAAATTCATTCTAAGGCTTGTAAAATTTGTTTGAATCACATGTGATTGATCTAGCGCCACCAAATCATGAAAGGAATGAGTATATAGGAGCTTACGGCCGTAAAATCCTAGTTTAGGGCCGTAAACTCCCTTTAATGGTCCCTTTAGTGGTAAAACCCATTCCTATGCCTCAGATTAAATCATAGCAACCCTTCCCAAGTGTTAATTGACCATTTAGCACCATAATACCCCATATTCATGAGTTCACAGCCGTGAACTCATATGGTCATGGTCTTAGGGCCATAAACTCCCTAAGGAGTTTACTCTTAAAGAGCAAACTCATTTTCCGAAGCCCTACACGTCCGTAGATGTCACCCGGGTCACTCCAAACACTTGTTTGAAGTGTTTTCTCAGATTGGAGTGTGTAATCATATCTAATTAGTGATTTAAAGTATAATTAGATACATTTGTATACCATTTCATATTACATAGGAACCTCGTGCATTATCAAGCCCCGAACCGACACATAGCATCCAAACTATCACGTTTTCTCGTCTGGTGAGTTCATACCCCTACCCATTTTCAATGTTTTCACTGTTTTCAGGGGGGAATACAAGCAAAGTACAAGGAATACTTGTACTCAAAAACTTGTTTTATATGTGTTGTGTTTCATATTACGTATGCTTTTACCACTGACAGTCGTAACAAACAACCGTTTGAACCTACAAAATACATTATCACATTATTTGTGAAAAACATTATAAATTGTTGTATTTTATATTTTCACAAATGTTTTCCCACATTGTATCAGTTAAAAGCATAACATTAGAACTTAGAACATTGTTTTGTCCTCGGTAACACTCCACAGAGATACGCGAGTGGAGGATAGTCATTTGATCTTTCAGTATTATTACTAGTAAATTTGTTATTCCTATAAATTGGAGACACATAAAAACAATGATTTCTTTTATAATTTTTATTTGGATTTTTAAATGATTTTTTGTGTAATTTATATTTTTTATGATATTTTTTATGTTTTTTTTTATAACTCTTTAGCAACTTCATGCATCATTATATAGTACAATAGGGTAAAATGGTAATTTTTCATCAATCAACACATTCAGTCAGATGTATAATCAAACAACATCATTTCTTACTCAGTCAGACTTTCTTATCCAGATATACCTTTCTCAGTCACCC